TGGGCAATGATTACAACCGCCTGCAATGCCAATAGGACCTCGGATGCCCATTTCTCCAGGTATTCCTGGTCGCCCGGTTATACCTTTTGGTCCAGTACCTCCACGCGGTCCCACTTTTCCTAAAAAATAATCATAACATCGATTTTAAGAAGCATTGTTTGTAACCTATTCGTCCTTCTGGCCCTCTTTGGCCTATTTTTCCACGTTCGCCTAGCTGACCTTGTTCTCCCGGTGGGCCTGGTGGACCACGGGGTCCTCTTTTACCTTTCACGTATCGTCCAGGCTGACCCTTTGGTCCTTTGGGACCATCAAATCCCTTCGAGCCTTGTGGCCCCATATTTCCTTGCTTTCCGGGTAGACCCGGGTTTCCATCCTGTCCCGGTGGACCGGGATCACCCGGACTACCGTCCTTGCCGCGAGGACCGGAAACACCAGGAAGTCCTAGAGCAGTTATTCGTACAGTGAACAGAAAAAAAAGAATAAAACTTGCCTGGTATGAACTCGCAAGGACACGGGGGAGGAATGGGCATGAGGATCTGATATGCTTCAGCATCTTCGCCGTCTTTTCCCGGAGATCCATCTTTTCCCGGTGGTCCATCAGCACCATCTTCACCTGGCATTCCTTGCTGACCAGTTGGCCCTCGCTGACAAGTGCAGCCTAATTCTACTATTAGCATTAGTCTGACAACAATTTCCCACTTACATGAAGCATCGTCTGTTTGCCTGATCTTCCTGTGGGAGTAAATTTTTTCATTACTCTCAAGACGTCTGTGAAATTTGAAAATGAGCCATTTCGACAGCATCTCCCTTGAGCGAAACTGAAGCCATAATTATTCTGCATTTAATGCCAAATCGGATAACGTAATCATACCTGACAAGTATCAACTTCTCCCTGGACGAGTGCCTGCATGTTTTGAACGAAGTGAAAGATCAGCGGGAATGTAAGCAGACAAGAAGCTACTGCTACAGTACTGAAAACAACGGCACAGAAGGCCACAGTGCGAAGAGACCATCCGTGTTTTTTTCGGCCAATTTCAGTTACAGATTCCATATCTTGGCACCGTGGCTGTCAAATCGAGCAACTGTTGCAGCCGTGAAGTTTCGTTACCCCCATATATAGCGCTTTGACGCTGCCGACCTAGTTGTCGCTTTTTGTAGCAGTTTTTAGGCGAAGGTATTCAATGACGAATCAGTACTGGAAATAATCGGATCGATATAACCCTGTTGCACAGCACAGACCAGTGCTTGAAGTATGCCGCACAATTATTCATGGGTGGAGGATAATAACTTAACAGCGGCATTATTCTCAGACCCGGCATCTGAGATGTGCCGGGTAGGTAATCAGTTGCTCGATCAACCCGATCGCAATTTTCTCATGCCTTCTTTATTCCACAACTGACGGTGCGGCTAACTAACAGGCACACCTACACCTGTCTCACCTGTTTCTTCCATCTGGCAAATGGTGGTAGTTGCTCAGCTGGTGACGGCCTTTAAACACATTTTACACTGCTTCCGCAAATTGCGCCTCCATTCTTTGCTCTTAAGCATGGAGATAAAAAAAGTGTTTTAACCCCTTTGCGGGACGATGTGCCGAGTCCAGCACCAAACAATGGACCGCACGCTTCTGAGAGAAGCGCCTGAATATTTCTAGGTGAAAATATGCGTGCACCATTTCATGAACGAACAGTCAGTGCAAATCTATCGAACATTTTAACTTCATTCGAAGCGTTCAACGGCAAGTGCGCAATAGTGAGTCTCACTAATAATAGACTCTTCTCAGGGGAGACGTTTTAAACTAGTTTCAGGAGAAGTATTTGCTTTCAGTAACGACCGAAACTGAGCTATTGATCCATATTTAATTGTTTGCAGTATTTTAATTAGACAAAATTAAGTTGATTAATGAACTAAAAACTTAATTTAGCCCCATATTTATGGGATAGCTGAAGATTTATTTATTCTTTGTTTCCAGTTTCATTTTTGACAGACTGTTCTTCTGCCCGTAAATATTCTATTTGTATTTTTTAGCTCGGAGAAATTTATATATTACAGCTGCGCGTTTCTCTGGGCGGCTATGTCATCTTAACGCTTGAGTAATGTGCTCATAGCACAGCATGAGAACTGCCGCTGAATTTAAAAGACACCTACTGCAAAGTTACTACTTACTTTCTATTCGTTTTTTCCAGAAAGGTGACATCAACAGACCAAGAAGCCCGTGTCTGAGGACTTGGCGAACCCAAATGAATAAATCTGATCAGGTAAGGGATCACCTGTTTAACCTTAGAGTTTTTCAGGCAGTCATATTGAGTAACAGGTTAATCCTTCCACAATGTTTTGTGAGGAGAGCGTTAGTTTTAGCCGCTCAACCTTAATAGGAGTTGGAGATCTGTCATTCCAATACTACCCCTGCCTCCTTAGCCACCCGTTTTATAATTTATATAAGGTTCTCAGAGATACTATATTGACTTAACAAAGGCGTTCCATACATCACCAAGCTATCATTTGACGTCTCGATTTGACCGTTGGCCACTTTCTTGGAGAAATCTATATGGAAAAAAATTTCCGCCCATTAATACAATAAAAAAAGACTGTGATCAGATGCCCTGCTGAAGGCGCAGGTAAGATTAATCGATGAAAATATCAAAATTTTATAACACATTTAGCCTGGTCAAGCGATCAACATGCGACATGATCAAGCTGAAGTTATTTGACAGAAAAAGATGGCCGGATAGGCGAGCGTTTCATTCCATTAAGGAGGCTAGCAAAGAAACCATCAATATCAGCAAAGAAATCTGTTCCCATTGCTTCAATTCTACCGTCCTGCCGGCAGGTTGTATGGCTGCAAGACATGGTCACTCACGAAGACCGAAAAACGTCAGATGTTTGTCACCGAGAACGGATATGAAAAGAAGTATATTTGGAATTTCACAACGCGACTACATCCCCAGACAGAGAGTGAACCGATGTTATGAACGTCGCCGACAAAACAGAGAGGGAAGCTGCGGTGGGTTGGGGGGGGGAGGGGGCAGCTCGGCTCGCCCACGGGAGATAGTCGGCGATGATCACCGTCTGGTACACTGGCGGACAGAGTAAATCATTCGATCGTCTACCATGACGATGAAATGACCGCATGCGAAGGCGG